CTGTTGCTTGCTCGTTCACACTGAAGTCACCTGTTGCTTGTTCGTTCACACTGAAGTCACCTGTTGCTTGTTCGTTCACACTGAAGTCACCTGTTGCTTGCTCGTTCACACTGAAGTCACCTGTTGCTTGTTCGTTCACACTGAAGTCACCTGTTGCTTGTTCGTTCACACTGAAGTCACCTGTTGCTTGCTCGTTCACACTGAAGTCACCTGTTGCTTGCTCGTTCACACTAAAGTCACCTGTTGCTTGCTCGTTCACACTAAAGTCACCTGTCGCTTGCTCGTTCACACTAAAGTCACCTGTTGCTTGCTCGTTCACACTGAAGTCACCTGTTGCTTGCTCGTTCACACTGAAGTCACCTGTCGCTTGCTCGTTCACAGTGAAGTCACCTGTCGCTTGCTCGTTCACACTGAAGTCACCTGTTGCTTGCTCGTTCACACTGAAGTCACCTGTTGCTTGCTCGTTCACACTGAAGTCACCTGTCGCTTGCTCGTTCACACTGAAGTCACCTGTTGCTTGCTCGTTCACACTAAAGTCACCTGTTGCTTGCTCGTTCACACTGAAGTCACCTGTTGCTTGCTCGTTCACACTAAAGTCACCTGTTGCTTGCTCGTTCATACTGGTCACCTTTTGCTCGTCCGTTCACGCTGAAGTCACCTATTGCTCACCCGTTTCAACAGGCATTTTTGTTGTTGTTAAGTGACTTCACTTTCTGAACTTATTCTTTCATTTAACTAGAATTAACAATAGTTCTCTCCAGTGTCAATGAGCTCCTAATCAACAAAATATTATATTCTCCCTGTTCCAAGCGGAGGAAGAGAAGGTATTATTTCGGTGACGTGAGAAACAGACAGTCAGTGAGGGGGAAGAAGGCGATTAAAGTACCTTTACAAGGAAGACCAGACTTAGATTCTGAAAGATGTGCATTCCAACCCACAGGAGAGCTGCCAGAGAGGCCAAACTCGGCGGCTGTTGACAGGCAGGTATGCGGCTGTTGACATGCGGGTATGCATCTTGCATAAACAGATATCCCGTTTCAATTTCGTTCTATTGCGGCTTAAAATGTTGAATTATGTTGGGATTCAGACCATGCGGGATCAGGTAATAGAGCCGGGATGGATATTTAGTGGTGTATGTGTATGAAAAGTATATATATATGGATGTGTATGTCTTGTGTATGAATTGCTGAGTTTGTTTACATTCTTGTTGGCGTGATCCAGGGAGGATTACGAAGATTTAACGATAGGATATGACGGATCCTGTGGTCAAATATCCTCTCGTATTATCCAGCGTTGGATAAACTCTGGCTTCCTGCACTTGGCTCCAATCTATATCCAGTAATGCTATTAAGTGAAACTCCTCTAGAGTCCGTTTAGCGAGGTTAGATATTATGTAAACATAAACTGAAAATCAAATGAAAATTAAAATAATAATTAATAATAATTTAATAATTGATTATTCATTGGGATGTCTATCTGTGGTTTCCTTAACTCGGTAAAGACTTTAAGTGAACTGCTTTCTGTTCTGAATAATTCATACAATGTCACAATATAATACGTACAATGTCACAATAACGGGGCTGAAACAAACCTAACCATCACTGAAAAGAAAGTGACGATGTTTCGTTCCGGCCTGGAGCATTGTGTGAGGTTTCGTTCCGGCCTGGAGCATTGTGTGAGGTTTCGTTCCGGCCTGGAGCATTGTATGAGGTTTCGTTCCGGCCTGGAGCATTGTATGAGGTTTCGTTCCGGCCTGGAGCATTGTATGAGGTTTCGTTCCGGCCTGGAGCATTGTATGAGGTTTCGTTCAGGCCTGGAGCATTGTATGAGGTTTCGTTCAGGCCTGGAGCATTGTATGAGGTTTCGTTCAGGCCTGGAGCATTGTGTGAGGTTGTTTTCTTTCGTCTTGGACACATGTTTGGCGACGTTTCGTCCCGTCCTGGATCCTTATGGGACTTCTTTTCGTTCCGTCTTGCACCCGTATCGAGCCGTGACATGTATAAGGGTCCACTACGGTACGAAACGTCGTCACTTTCCTTTAACTTCACGAATCTCAAGCAAAAACATTATTCATAAATGTTATTATATTTATAATTGAGAAAACTTACATAAAAAGTAGAGAACATTTATCCAAAATAATCACCGCGTTTACCTTTGTGATAATTTAAAATTCCGGATGTCGTATATTGAGATACACGTATGTAGAAATAAGACAAAATAAGAAAAACCTGAATTAATTCACTCGTTCGCTGTATTGGGTAATTCCTCTCGCAAACTCAGCCATGGAAACGTATTACGTACAGTAGTTACGTACCCGAACTACGTCATCACAAGTGTGATGATTTGTAGAAATCAGTCAAATAATGAATCAAAACTGAAATCCTAATTTAGATTATTAGTATATAATTATAATTATTACATGTTTATGTTATCATTATGACTTTCTCTCACGTAAATAATGTCCCGAAATTTTGTGTAAATAAACATTATAATAAATGTACAACCATTTACGAATAAAGTTTTATATTTGATTCGATACCTTAATAGTTCAGGGTGTTTCTCAACCTTTGTATCCTTGAAATAATTCCGGGTCGTACTTCAGATAAACACAAACACGGATTTCATTCTCAAAATTTAAAACATCCAGACGATTTCTACCTCTGCACTTGATACTGGTTAAATGATTAAAACTAAACACAAAAATGACTCTAAATTCAATTTCCATATGATTATAGAATTAGTCTAATTGTCATTATCTCTTACAGAACCCCAGGTTAAGTTCAGACGCCCAACGCTTGTCTCTCTTAAACCCTGCATAGTTTTTTGTTATTATCGGGCGGGCGGGACGCAAGGGCCTCCACACCCCTCAGCACATCTTGCTGTGTAGGGAGTCCAGGACTGTCCCCTCTCAAGCCGTGTGGGTGGTAGGTAGGAGCTGGGCATTGTATTTTCGGTGTGTGTGTAGCGTCTCCTCAACCTTCACTCCTCGCCAGCTGTTTATTTAGATTCACATCGCTAGCTATCTGGCAACACTCGTGACGTCATTATGGCTTTTGTTTTTATCCTAATCACACTTATTTTCCCCTGTGAGAACAGAAATATTTGTGCTCTGAAAGGAGAGACATATTTTCGAGCTACGGGGATGACGGAAGTATATTTGTGTGTACAAGTATGCTCAACACTTGCCTAAGTTCCTGCTAGTTTTTTTATAATGCATAATTCTATGCATGCATTGTAGGGATTTTTTTGGGGGTGGGGACATTTAGTAACCCAGATTTTATTTCGATAAATATTGTCCCAACAAAATGCATATTTTTTTAGAAATTGGTGATCGTAGCTCCTAATGATATATATAAAATTTACATAAGCTTAGCAACAAATAAGCGTTGATAGCTTAGTAGAACAAAGTATGTATTATATTCCTAGTCTAGGAACAAAGATACGACAGACATATTCGAATTCAAAATCAAATTTGACATACTGTATTGAATTTTTGTTTACATACTGTATTTCCCCAGGGGAGGGGGGAGTAGGGAAGGGGTGTGGTAGTCTGGGGGGAATGGGGGAATAGCGTAATATGGGTGATTAATGTTTGTCGTTAAATGCGCTCTATTTTGTGATAATTTGTACATGTACAAAGGTGTTGGGTTAAAGTATGTTTGTATTTTGTGTTACTGTACACTTTAAAGAATGTTTGGCGTGTAATATGTTTGTACTTTGTGCATTTGTATGTTAAATATTACATTGGCATTTTTTGCATTGTTTGCAAAGAAAATTTTAACTCAATTTGAAATGGGAAAATTACTAACCAGAGTGTAGGAGTACTTGTTAGTAACATTTTATATTTCTAATATAACGATAATCTACAATAATCTACTTCTACAGTCCGTATGTTTTATAAAGATTATTGCTCAAAATCTACCTGTATGATGCCCGTCTGTTGTCTAAAGCGCAAACCATATCAAAACCGTATTTCTAGAATTAAGGTTACATGGAATAGCTTTAATATAGTCATATATATTTCCTTTGAAATCACATATTGTTACACTCCGTCCACAGCTGTAGTGTTGAGTGTATTATCATACCATAATTGTATACATATTATCATTAGTTGTATGTCAACATCTATTAGTGTTTTGTTTTTGTCTGCTGTTGGAGGCCAGATGCATGGGGCTAGTCTCATTAAACTTTGCTGGATTGAAGGGAATTTTATGGTGAGTGTCAAAGGGCGTTCGGACCTTACTCCTCCTCCTCCTCCCTCACGATACTGGTGGATATTAAATGTGTCACCCACAGACCGTAGAGTTTAGAGTAAGTTTAAATATTAGTGAATTTATATACTAACTTTCAAAACTTATATTAAGGTGATAGATTTGCGTTCTGGCCACAACCGTTTGATTATATTGATGGTGTGTGGGTGTGTGTGTGTGTGTGGGTGTGTGTGTGTGTGTGTGTGTGTGTGGGTATGGGTGTGTGTGTGTGTAAATCACGAAAATTAACACGTGATGAAAAATGTGACAGTGTCAGACCACGAAGAAAGAATTGAGACAGGAATTTCCTTAAGTATTTTCTCATTTAATAATACATCTTCATAAGGAATGAAGATGTATTAATAATACATCTTCATTCCTTCCTTCATACCTCATTTTTGTGGGGCCACGTGAGCAACACAAATGCGAACAAATTTGTTCACATTTGTGTTGTTCACGTGGCCCCAAATAAATAAGGTGATTTGATGAAATAGCTATGCCCAAGACTACCATCAAAGTGCCGTCGGGGTGGTGGTTCAAATAGCCTACGCTATCACTGCCTTTTGTACGGTCACTGATGGTCGAGTGATTTAAGGCACCGTGTACACCAGTTGCAATGTGCTCCTGACGGTCCGGTTTTGAGTCACTTGTGGGGTGTGGAGTTTTCAGTTGCGTATATGCTTGGGGGACCATTCAAGCTTGTCCGTTTATATTGTAGATTGTCTAACGGTGGAAATGTTTCCATTGCAGCGGGAGCACGTATGAGGGTCAGTGGCAGAACGGGAAGCGGCACGGGCTGGGGGTGGAGAGCCGAGGACGGTGGATCTACAGGGGCGAGTGGACGCAAGGCTTCAAGGGACGCTACGGCGTCCGACAGTCCACCACGTCCTCCGCCAGATACGAGGGCACCTGGGCCAACGGACTCCAGGACGGCTACGGCTCGGAGACATACGCCGACTCCGGTGAGTACTGACGCCTCCTCCACGTCTCTTTGTCTGTCAAACGCTTCATTAACCCGGCTCTACCCTGGAAACACAAACCGTAACTGTCTCTATTTTCCGCTTGTTACAACTTGTAATAAAGTTGTTACATCTTGGTTTAACGTGTTTATGACGTATTAGAACGTTGTTACAACTTGCTATATTGGTTGTTATAACTGGTTAGGAGGTGTTAAAACTTGTTCGAACGTTGTAGCAACGTCATAGTTTCGGTGTGTGTTTGGCGGGTAGTAACATGTAATCAACGTGGGGTCAATGTTTTACATCTTTGGATTACTGTCGGGTGCCTAGATGTGCCCGGGAGGGGATCGGTGAAGAGTGAGGAGGACTGGACCCGGATTCACGAAAGTTACGCAAGTACTTACGAACGTGTACATCTTTCCTCAATCTTTGACGGCTTTGGTTACATTTATTAAACAGTTTACAAGCATGGAAACTTGCCAATCAACTGTTGTTATTGTTATAAACAGCCTCCTGGTGCTTCGGAGCTCATTAACTGTTTAATAATTGTAAACAAAGCCGCCAAAGATTGAGAAAAGAGGTACAGGTTCGTAAGTGCTTGCGTAACTGCTTCATGAATCTGGCCCCTGATACTCCACATACAGGGCTTGAAGCGCGGGCTACGTGTCCTCGACGGGGTGTAGACCTACGCCCATAAATATTTCCTCAGGACCCGTGCCTGAAATAGTGAGAACAACATTAACTCTTGGGTGTGTTTGGTCATGTTTCGTCCAACCACTTGGGCTGGACGGTAGAGCGACGGTCTCGCTTCATGCAGGTCAGCGTTCAATCCCCGACCGTCCAAGTGGTTGGGAACCATTTCCTCCCCCCGTTCCATCCCAAATCCTTATTAAGATGACTCCTTCCAAGTGCTGTATAGTCGTAATGGCTTGGCGCTTTCCCCCCTGATACAACCTAACAGTGGTCATGTTTCACGAGTGGTATTTAGCGTGTCCCGCATGCTCCGATTCTTTTGTTTCCTGGTTGGCATAAAGAAAAAAATGCCAAAAAATACATGCCACTTATTTTTTATACGATTTTCTACGTTAATTTTTTTTTAATTTGAATTTTGCATTTATTTTTGTATTCTAAATGATATTCGACTCAGTTTGACATATCCAATTAAATGTCGTTTTCATTTCAAATACGAGAAGTTCTTAAACTCGTCTCTGACAAATCTTCACTGTAGATTTACAGATAATATAGGTGCAAGTTAAAGGTTGACTAGCCATAAAGAATTTTATCCAGAAATATCGAGTTAATTGTTTTTAATACAAGCGTGTCTAAAATATAAATGAATTTAAACACCGAAAAAAAAATTTAAGCTCGTTACTCTTGGGTCCCACGAGTAAAGTTTTTCATTACAAATATCAGTATTTTTAGTATTATTAAGCAGTCGATGATATCGGTGATATAATACTTACCAACTAGTGATAAACCATGTTGAAGCGTAGTTGATACGAAGGTATGTAAGAAGGCGATGTACCTATGGGAAAATATTGCCAAACAGGGGAATCGAACCCCCATCCATAGACACCCCCCAGGCACGACCAAATATTTACTCTTACGTAAGTATCTTCTTCAAATTTCCTTAGGAGTCTATTAAAAGTAAACGAAGAATAAAACCGATGCATATAGTTCAGACCCAAGAGGAACCTTTGGGTAAACATATGATGTGTTTATTTGTTTTTTGCAATAAACAATTTGTTTATTGCAAACATGTTTATTGTTAAACAAGCATGCAATTTGTTTTTAACTAGAGTGCAAAATAATAACCTATTGGGATGGAGGAGAGTTGTATCTGAATGGGAAAGGGAGGGGATCGTGAAGGATAGTCAATGGGAAGGATAGGAGGGGGGAATGGGAGACTTAAAGAGGATGCGGGAGGGACAAGGGATAGGAGGGGGATGGGGTTAGTAGGGATGAAGGATGTTAGGCTACGTAGCTGTTTTGAGAATGTGGGTGACGTGAGCCACGTTCCTGGTATTATCGTGCATCACCCCTCAGTTTCCTGCTGGTGTTAACGACCAGTTATATTTGGCAAGTCTTTTTTTTTTTTAGTCCCTTGGAGCCCCGTCATGCACCCCGGGATAGATACTTGGCGTGTGTGTGTGTGTGTGTGTGTGTGTGTGTGTGTGTGTGTGTGTGTGTGTGTGTGTGTGTGTGTGTGTGTGTGTGTGTGTGTGTGTGTGTGTGTGTGTGTGTGTGTGTGTGTGTGTGTGTGTGTGTGTGTGCGCGTGTGTGTGTGTGTGTGTGTGTGTGTGTGTGTGTGTGTGTGTGTGTGTGTGTGTGTGTGTGTGTGTGTGTGTGTGTGCGTGTGTGTGTGTGTGTGTGTGTGTGTGTGTGTGTGTGTGTGTGTGTGTGTGTGTGTGTGTGTGTGTGTGTACTCACCTAGTTGTACTCACCTATTTGTGCTTGCGGGGGTTGAGCTCTGGCTCTTTGGTCCCGCCTCTCAACCGTCAATCAACAGGTGTACAGATTCCTGAGCCTATTGGGCTCTATCATATCTACATTTAAAACTGTGTATGGAGTCAGCCTCCACCACATCACTGCCTAATGCATTCCATACGTTAACTACTCTGACACTGAAAAAGTTCCTTCTAACGTCTCTGTGGCTAATGTGGGTACTCAGTTTCCACCTGTGTCCCCTTGTTCGCGTCCCGCCAGTGTTGAATAGTTTAACCTTGTTTACCCGGTCGCTTCCCCTGAGGATTTTGTAGGTTGTGATCATGTCTCTCCTTACTCTTCTGTCTTCCAGTGTCGTAAGGTGCATTTCCCGCAGCCTTTCCTCGTAACTCATGCCTCTTAGTTCTGGGACTAGTCTAGTGGCATACCTTTGGACTTTTTCCAGCTTCGTCTTGTGCTTGACAAGGTGTGTGTGTGTGTGTGTGTGTGTGTGTGTGTGTGTGTGTGTGTGTGTGTGTGTGTGCGTGTGTGTGTGTGTGTGGGTGTGTGTGGAGGCTCCTGGTCTTGCACCTTAAACACGCTCATTAGTACAACACTGTTATTGATAGATATAACATACAGGTATACGAGCGAGAGAAAGAAAGAGAGAGTATGTATAAACAAAGAGGGGAAAGGTGTCTAAAACAAATACTGTACAACGAAAGACTTGTAAACATTCGAACACTGACTAGAACACTGTGTTCACCCCTCACATCAACATTCGAACACTGTCCAGGACATTGTCCGAACGGACAATGACACATACCCACTACCCTGCCTCACTTAATAATGGTGTTATGATGTTATCTTCTCTCTCACTCTACCGGTGATAGCAAAATAACGTCTATTGTGTCTTTTAGAACACTGAACGGCCTTCTAATTTAAATAGAAAATAATATTTAGTAATGAACGGAAAAAGGTAGTCTGTAGTAGGCTTCGACACGCAGACAGCTTCAGTAACACGCAGACAGCTTCAGTAACACGCAGACAGCTTCAGTAACACGCAGACAGCTTCAGTAACACGCAGACAGCTTCAGTAACACGCAGACAGCTTCAGTAACACGCAGACAGCTTCAGTAACACGCAGACAGCTTCAGTAACACGCAGACGTCTGCAGCTACACGCAGACATCTGCAGCAACACACAAAGAACTAAGCAGTTGTTTTCGATTAAGAAATGACACTTGACACTCTTGATAATTACAGCCTCGTCCCTCGATTACACAAAAAACAAAAGTTTTTGCGATCACAAATCATGTATTCCCGTGAATTGTAAACCTTCATGATGAATGTGAGTATACATGGTATGATATTGGGCTCCAGGAGGTTTGATGAGGCTGGCATCCTAGCTGAGTCAGGGCCCAGGAGCTACATGCAAACTGATGACTGTCAGCACAGCTTTACACGTAATTTGTATAATCCTGAATCAAAGTAAGCGTCCCTCCAGCCCTCAGCATACCTCCAACCCTTAGTATACCTCCAACCCTTAGTATACCTCCAACCCTTAGTATACCTCCAACCCTCCAACCATTTATGCAGAGAGCCAGAATTCGGCTCAAAAATCACGCTCAAGAGTCAATTTTCCGATATTTCAGATATTTTGAAAATTGCAGGGGGGTTTGGGCAAAATATTACCCATCGCCGTTTTCAGCAATTGGCATATTATTGGTATAAAAAGTCGTAATTTGAAAATGAAAATAGGTGCAGAGAGTTAGAATTCGGCTCAAAAATCACGCTCAAGAATCATATTTCCGACATTTCAGATATTTTGAAAACTGTAGGGAGGTTTGGGCAAAATATGACCCATCGCCGTTATCAGTAATTGGCATATTTTCGGTAAAAAAGATCGTAATTTGTAGATGAAAACAGGTGCAGAGTGTCAGAATTTGGCTCAAAAATCACGCTCAGGACTCAAATTTCCGACATTTCAGATATTTAGAAAACTGCAGGGGGCTTTGGGCAAAATATGACCCATCGCTTTTTTCAGTAATTTTCATATTTTCGGTATAAAAAGTCGTTATTTGAAAATGAAAATAGGTGCAGAGAGTCAGAATTCGCCTCAAAAATCACGCTCAGGATTCAATTTTCCGATATTTCAGATATTTTGAAAACTGTAGGGGGGGTTTGGGCAAAATATGACCCATCGCTTTTTTCAGTAATTTTCATATTTTCGGTATAAAAAGTCGTTATTTGAAAATGAAAATAGGTGCAAGGAGTTAGAATTCGGTTAAAAAATCACGTTAAGGAGTCAAATTTCCGACATTTCGGTTATTTTGAAAACTGCAAGGGGGTTTGTGCAAAATATGACCCATCGCCGTTTTCAGTAATTGGCATATTTTCGGTATAAAAAGTCATAATTTGAAAATGAAAATAGGTGCAGAGAGTCGGTATTTGGCTCTAAAATCACGTTCAGGAGTAAAATTTCCGACATTTCAGATATTTTGAAAACTTTAGGGTGGGTTTGGGCAAAATATGACCCATCGCTGTTATCAGTACAGTAATTGGCATATTTTCGATATA